AATATACAGGGTGGGCCACCAGTAACGCCTCGGTCGCTAGTGACCAAACGGCAAATGTTACAGAAACCTGTTTAGGTGGGTATGTGTAGGTTGATTACGGCTACATTTTAAAAATATTTTGAGATATACAGGGTGTCCAGGAAAAGCGTACCATATCAAAGTTATGTTTTTTTAAATGGAACACCCTGTATTTTACTGCATTTTTGAAAGCACCGTAAAAAAATAGGTGAACTTTATTAAAGGTTCTGCATACCTAGGACTTACAGTTTGTGAGATATTTCAATTTTAGTGAAAATGCAGGCATAGCGTAGAAATTTAATATTAGCAATAAAAAAATAATTTTAAGGAAGCAGCTTTGGAGGGTCTATTTTAGATCCTTGAAGTTATAAATTGTTATATTTGTCGTCACTTAGTATTATACAGGGTGTTCAAAAAACTGCTGAATACTTCTCTCAACTTTAAACAGCAATAACTTGGTTATTTTAAATGGAACACCCAGTATATTTTTACTTTGGGAGTTGGGAAATTTAAAACTCTTTCAAACTGTGTATAGGTTCCCTATACCTATCTCTAACGGTATTGGAGATATTTGTGCCGTTTCGTTTTTTATCGATTTTTTTTGTAAGATGTATCCACGTGTCTTTATCGAGGTCTTTACTGAATTGGTTTGGGTTCTTCTTGATGACGTCTCTTTAAATATATTGAGAAAAATGAGGATGCAATTAGATGGCGCACCTGCAAATTTTTCATATTCAGTGAGAAATTATTTAAATCGAAAATTTAGTAATAAATGGATAAGTAGGAATGGTGCATGTCAGTGGCCACGTAGGTGTCCAGACCTCACCGTAATGGACTTCTTTGTTGCGAGCTATATAAAAAATCTTGTATACAATGTTCCACCTATTACTTGCGATGATATTGGAGGGAAGGATTAGAGATGCATTTGCGTGAGAATATCATTTGAAGATAGAATAAGATGCTGTATTCAGGAGAATGGTTATCAATTCGAACATCAATTAAAATTTTTCTTTGTTTTTTCTAAAAGTAAAAGTTCCTTTTATCATTATCATGAAAATATTCAAAAAAGTTTTCTAATAAAAAATATTATTTTATAAGCCGAATAATTATAAAAAGTTATTAATTTTGTATAAATATGTTTGTAGTAAGTAACTGAATTATTTATGAACATGAAAAATATTTATTAAAGAAAATTTTACTTTTAGAAGAAACAAAGAAAAATTTTAATAGATGTTCGAATTGATAACCATTCTCTTGAATACAGCATCTTATTCTATCTTCAAATGATATTCTCACATTCCTTAGAATATTTGGGGTGATTGTGGCAAATGCATATCTAATCCTTTCCTTCATATCATCGCAAGTAGTAGGTGGAACACTGTGTACAAGATATATTTTTATACAGCCCGAAACAAAGAAGTCCATTACGAGAGGTTTGGACACCTGTGGTAGCCACTGACATGAACCATTCTTACCTACTCATTTATTACTTAATTATCGATTTATATAATTTCTCACTGAATATGAAAAATGTGCAGGTGTGCCATGTATTTGCATTCACATTTTTCTCCTTATATTTACAGAGACGTCATCAAGAAGAACCCAAACCAATTCAGTAAAGACCTCGATAGAGACACGTGGATACATCTTACAAAAAAAATCGATAAAAAACGAAACGGCACAAATATCTCCAATACCGTTGGAGATAGGTATAGGAAACCTATATACAGTTTGAAAGAGTTTTAAATTTCCTAACTCTCAAAGTAAAAATATACTGGGTGTTCCATTTAAAATAACCAAGTTATTGCTGTTTAAAGTTGAGAGAAGTATTCAGCAGTTTTTTGAACACCCTGTATAATACTAAGTGACGACAAATATAACAATTTATAACTTCAAGGATCTAAAATAGACCCTCCAAAGCTGCTTCCTTAAAATTATTTTTTTATTGCTAATATTAAATTTCTACGCTATGCCTGCATTTTCACTAAAATTGAAATATCTCACAAACTGTAAGTCCTAGGTATGCAGAACCTTTAATAAAGTTCACCTATTTTTTTACGGTGCTTTCAAAAATGCAGTAAAATACAGGGTGTTCCATTTAAAAAAACATAACTTTGATATGGTACGCTTTTCCTGGACACCCTGTATATTTCAAAATATTTTTAAAATGTAGCCGTAATCAACCTACACATACCCACCTAAACAGGTTTCTATAACGTTTGCCGTTTGGTCACTAGCGACCGAGGCGTTACTGGTGGCCCACCCTGTAGAGGTAGATATACAGGGTGCTACAGAAAAATAGGACAAACTGTCAACCATAGATTATTAGAAGAAAAATAGTGGAATTTCATTGTCCTTTTTTAAGATACGTAGTGTCAAACTATAGTTCTTATACAGGGTGTCCAAAATTTCAAATACGTATTTAACTCATGAAAATCAACATCATTTGTCTAACAATTTATTTCAAAAACTCACTTTTTTATAAAATATTTTGTACCCCTTAAAAAACGCTAACGAGCTATCTATGGATTAAAGTTTTTCATGCGATCTCGTAAATAAAATTGGTACCAGAAAACAAAAATGAAGAAAGGAGCGTTAATCTAAAAAAATACAGTTGAGGAAAAGATTTTTTTTAAATGTAATTTTGACACCCTATATCTGGAAAAGGAACTCAAATATAAAATGATACGGGTAGGCCTCATTATTTTTACTCAAAGATCCGTTGTTAACAGCTTGTTGCACTTTTTTAAAACACCTTGTAAAAATGAATCATTAGCTTTAAACGAACATATTTTTGTTTTGAAACAATAACAGATTCTAAATCAGTTATATAGAGCTTTCATAAACGATTACAAACCACGTGACCACCAACTTAGGCAACCATCATTTCACGCCGGTACTGTCAACTAAAAACCCCAAAATCATAGCGTCACCAATATTCGTTTACAATGAACAATTACAAACTGTTCCGTCTAAGTTCGAGATAATGCGATCGCTGATTGGTTGCATAAAATCTTATGAAAAATTACACCAATCAGCAGCCGGTGAAATATAATGTTTTAATATAATATTGATCTTATTGGTTTTATATTACTGAAATTTAATTGCCAACGTAAAGGAAATAAAGTTCCAAATAAAATTATTGTATTGTAATTATTTATGAAGGCTCCGTATAAAAGTAATTAACTTGAATGTAATTCAGTTTACATTTTAAGTTACATTATAAAAATATTAAATAATATATAATCCACATTAGATAATCTTGAAGAAAACAGTGTGTCATAAACACAATTTATGACTTTTCGCACAAAAAATGCGATTATAGAAGTTTCAGAATATGTAATGTAATTATGTAAACTGTTATTCGACTATTGAAAACCAGATTAAAATTATAGTCCAGACGGTATCTGTTTCAAACAGTCATATTTGGGTGAATCGTATATCCACGGAGATTTTTGGCTTTTTGGCTTTCAAATATCACTAGAAATTAAAATTTTTCTATGCGCATAAAAAAAACGTGGGCTTAACTTTTGGCGGCACAATATGTTTAAAAAATTCGAAAAATGTCATATTTTTCTTCCTATTTAATTATGTATCCTTTCAATAGTTGATTTTAGGCGAAAATGGAAGAGGGAAAAAAATGTAATTAAATATTTTACAAAACATGACTATGTAGTTACAAATCGAATGAATCGTGATTATTATGGTAAAAATCGAAAAAATCGCAAAAACGGAGTTAAAAAACAATACTTTTTAGGGAATTTTTTTGGGGTATTTCGATTGAGTATAGGACTTTTATACTTGGCTCAAGAAAACTTCATGTTATGCAGAATCATCATACTAAATTTCATCAAAATCGGTTCTGTAGATTTTGCATAATAATTTTGCAATCCAGATTTTGAAAAATAAATTGCAAATTTTCAAAATTTCGCACAGCAAAAGCCAAGGCCCTTAGATGCTTGAAAATTTAATCAAATATAGAAGGGTTCTCAAGCTTTTAAACTTTTTTTGAAAAATTCGAATCCGTCAATTAGGAGAGCCCTGGCGCTTGTTTAAACATTGGTCGAATTTTGGTACTTATAAACAATTAGAATAACTGTGGATATTCAATCAAATCAAATTTTTTAAAGCAAAGGGAATCGATAAAGCAATCAATTTTAAGCAAAAAATATCTTAGAAACATTTTTCGATAAGTCAATATTTTCTGAGTTATTGGTGATTAAACATGTACCTACATTTTTTATTAAAAAAAAGACGTTTTTCAGTAGTTTTTCTCAAATAACTCGGAAAATAGACATTCTATGAAAAAAAGATCATCAAGAAGAAAATGAAGCTATAAGAAAGATTGAGTTTTTCTTTCATTCATGTAGGTACATACGGCTGGTTGAACATAATCATTCATATCCGCCAGAAACTAAATTGGAAGCATTTAATGTAAAATAACTAACAAAAAATGCACAGAATATTTTATAAATTATGTACTTTAAAAAATCTTTAAAATTAATTAAAATTAGCAGAGTTATGATCAAAATAAAACTGTTAACTCGCTTTTTCGGAAAAAAAATCAGTAAAAAAACTGAAGAAATTTTCCACAAGATTTTAAAATTAAAGGTAATCCTTCTACAATTTACATTTTTTATGTGCTAACAAAAAATTATACAAGTTTAAGCGGTTTAGAATGCATATTTTTTAAAATATTACGTTTTAATTGAAAACAACATTTTCAAAGAAAATAACATGTATTAATAATGTAATATATATACATGTAATAATAAAATAAAAAAGATACGAAAAATAAGTCAAGAGTACAAAAGTTTAGATTTTTTTCACAGAATATTTTGGTCTTTTTTTTATTTATTTGTGCTTAATTCCAAATTTTCATAAAAATCGGATCTATAACACGGTACCAAATAGAAAAATTTAACACAATATGTCAATTGGTTCATGTTTATAAAATGGTAATAGAATAAAATTATACTTATTTTCATTGGGATCGATGGTGCAGAAGGGGAAATTTTCAGCAGCCGCTGAGCTCTTGGTTAGGACATTAAAGAAGGTGGATTTCCCGACGTTGGGAACCCCAACAATGCCCACTTTCAAGTTGGTGCCCACCCTGCCAATCAGAGGCCTCTTCTCTGGCTCCGACACCTTCTTCGGTGGCATTCTACAAAAATGTCTTTTATAAGTAAATGATGTTTTCATTTAAAATAAATTATTTTATAAAAATATGGGTTGTGCCAAAAAATTGTGTAAGTGTTGTTTTCAAAATATTGCTTAAAAAGCGGGTAAAACTGATTTCAGTTCATTGTAAATATACAGGGTGTATCTAAATAACACCGAAAAAATGTAAAGGGCGATTCTCCGGTGAAAATTAATAGTTTTTGGTATAAAATTTTTTGAAAAAATTTTCCCCTGAAAAGTTACGCCCCACCAAAAATTAAAAAAAAACTAATATTTTCTACACAAAATCATAAAACTTGTGAAAGAGTAAGAAACAGTAACAATAAATGACATTGACATTTATTTCTATAGATTCCATTGCAATGAACAGGCCACTAGATCTCTTGGCAAAATACACTGGCGTTAAACAGCTCAACTTTTTAAAAATGCATTTATTTTTTTTCTCATAAATCCCGAAGTTTTCGAAACATATAAATATCAAAAAGGTAGTTATGAGAAAAAATGTCATAGGGGTTGATTATTTCGGGGTTGATTATTTCAACCCCTTAAAAATACTTCAGGGTTGAAAAAATTTCAAAAAGTGTAGTTTTTTGAAAGATAATGTTCACCAAGTTTGGTTTTTTTTAGCTTGTAAATACACCCTGTATTTAGATACTGTAGAGGTTACTAATTTCAAATGAGTTTTTTTTGTTCGAAATTGTCCAAGTTTTCCGAATTTTCAGACAAAAATTTGAAAAAGATGAAAATAAACAAATTATGATGACTCCCATCACCCTTACCTAAAATACCCTTTCCGAATAATAGTTGAATTTTATTTTAACATCATCAAATTTTACGTAAGATTTAAAGAAAAATTTCATCAAAACCATTTATTAATCACTGTGTATTTAACTACTCAATTTTTTACATTTATATTGTATTTTGACAACTTTTTTGACATATTTTAGAAACATTATTTTAAGATTTTTCCGAGAATTTTTCGGATTGGCTCGTTTTCTGAAACACCCTATACGTTTAGTTGAACTAATATTTTATTAAAAGGCATATGAACGTTAAACATTTAAGTTATTGATCAGCAAGTCCGTCAATTACTTGTACATTTCCGAAGAATTCCACACCGCAGCGGGATTTTTCAAACATCCCACAAAGGCAATAAATAAGTATAATTAAATACAAAACGGTGAATAACGCGCTAGGGATATTTGAACTTGTGAGCGCAATTTTTAAACACAGCGTTGGCTGCTTTATCATCATAATATTCAAATTTCAACGTAACATTCGAATAATAACACACATTACCTTCTGCAACTTAATTTCCACAAAATAGCAATTTTCAATCTGATACCGAAATTGTAACCTGCGGATTTTTATGAGCGTTCGCTATTTTAAAAACGACCTTAATAGCAAGTTGGAATCGACCAAAGGCTACAATTTTGAATTTACCAGCAATTGCTGTTGGATATTAATATAATTTTGCACACCGCTGCCTCTAGGCGCATATATGCTAAGCAATAATTTTAAATCTTACCTGATTTAATCAATAAGTTTTGTATTATAATTCTAGACCGACCGAAACCCGTGCACAACCGAGTTTAAAATTGCCACTATTTGCTTAATTCGACCTCTCAGTCACAGATGGCGCTGCCCGCAAAAATCGACAACGAGGCCATACCAACACATTATATTTTTAGTTATAATTAGATAAATTTGTTTTCTATTACCTTGCCGCCTTGAAATTTACGAAATTAAATCTGAATTGTGATATGACATGTGTGTAATGCATATAAACTGATGCACCACATTTTAAAATATAACACTTTGATATATAACCTATAAATTCATATGGAAGTACTTTCTGACAAAATCCAAGGTTCTCTTGCGTTATTTTAAAGAAGGCACTGAATAGAAGGTATAATAAATAGGAAACACTTACATTGAGTATTATTTTTTAACAAACTGGTGAATTATTCCACAAAAAGGATAGCACAACACTACACTATTACCACCGGCAACTAAGTGACATTTGAACAGAAGTCATCTTCGTTGTTTGGTGCGTATCTCAGCTAAAGGCATGTACAAATTGTACAATATTTCATAATAGGTGGAATGTATTATCTGGCATGATAATAGGGGATTATTTATTTTATATTTTAAAATAAATAATCATTGGTATATATATCTGCATAAAAAAGACACAATACAATGAGATGAATGTTGCTTTTCGAATTTCAAAGCAGTATTTTTTATATAGGTAGGTATGTAGGTATTTTTTTAGGCTCTGTTCAAGGAGGGCATAACTAATTTTGAATTTCGCCAGATAACCGAGCTACTTGTTGGGTTCCGTTAAGCTACTACTTTCGCAGACACAAATTATAATCTATAAAAAATAATGACAAGCTTGCAACGAATACCTCCATATTTTAATACTAAAAATGGACGTACTGTTATTAAACGTTTATTTTGCTGAAAAACCTCTAATCAAATTCGCCACAGAAAATATGTTTTCTAGTAGCCTATATTTAATTGTATTAGCTACAGCTTCCTGAATTAATGTGTATTGTGTAATAAATTTATTAATGATATGTTATTAGAAATGTGTTCAGCTTCCGATAATTGCAGGTGCATTAAGGACACTTTACATTTAATTATTGTAACAGCCACACATTTAAGTGTGGTAGGTAGATACTGGTACTTTTGGAATCGGTTGATCATTTACAGTTTGGAGATATTGTGTATTTGAAAGAAGAATCTAAACTATCTAAAATATTTACGAGTAGGTACCTATGTACCTACCTACTTCTATTTTATTTCATACGATAGGTAAGTAGGTACCTACTTGAATTATTCGATATCAAGATATTGGAAAAAGTCCATTGCGACGAAGGTAGGTAGGTGCTCTACCTCTTTTCAACATAATTTATATAAATGAGCAAGTATTTACCTACCTCAGGTAAGTATTAGGAGACCATGAGTGGGGGAAGATTCAGTTCCATGTTTTGAATTCAGTTTTAACCTTGAGGACCTACATAAGTAAGTAGGTTTAGTTGGTTTATTTAATAAAGGCAACAGGTACCCACCAATTCAATGAATAAATAAATACAAATTAAGTGTCAGACATATTTTGAGTACTAGTGAGAAATATGTATCAAGTCGTGAGAAATTTTTACAAATATGATTGTAATGTGATTATCAGCTATAAAACGATGTATTGCATTCTTGTTTTAATTGCCTTTTATCCACTTAAGACAGTCTTGCGTGAATAAAAATGATATTTAAAACACTTTTACAATAAATAGGTAACTATTATTATAGAAGACAAAAAACTGTAAGAAAAATATAACGAGATCCCTAACTTTCGTGAGATATAATACATTGGATAAACTCTAAACTACTAAAATAATTGTTTCGTCATAAAAGAAAAATAGAGAAATAAAAAAATATATTTAAATTTTGAAATGAAAAGACCTTTTTCAGATAATTTTTTTGATATTTTGGAAAAAACGTATTATACTTATACTTGATGTCAAATTTAAGCATTGGACAAGCAAACGATGTCGTAATTGTTTTATTTTTTTCAGAAAAAGGAATAGTAAAAATAATTTTCATATGATGCGCACTTTTTACAGGATACTGTAAATAATTAATCATAATTGGTAATATTTTAGATATTTTTTGTATTTATCAAAAAATTGAATAAATCCTTTTTTTCTTAATTCGAAAATACACAGGTACTTTGCATACATTTTTTCCACATATTTTCAAGATAAATTTTATGACCTTACCACATGCCTTATTTCATTTATGGTTTTATACAACATTACAGTTTCTTTTTGCCTTTAGTGTCAATAGACATCGTTTGTACCTCCACCACCCCTATTTGAATTAGGTATAACAATAGTTTCTTTTTATTTGCAACCTCAGAAATATCGTACTTCTCTTTGATACAAGAATAATCTGTTTTTTGTTTTTATACTTGAAGGTATTGTCTTAGTATCCCGTTGATATTTGACGTAGTATTCTGGATTTGTGATTTTTTGGCGTCAGATTCAAGATTCAAGTAATCATGGATAGTAGATAGTTTTTTATTCGTGTATTGAACACTTTTTCAGCATCACCAGCGTTGCTTGTATACAGTGTGTCTCAATGCCCTAACAATCTGCAATTGCATTTGTGTTCATATAAACAGCAGTAGGTACTAGAGCTGCAATGAATTATAGGTAATTACATGCAGGATGTAGGTATATACATCTACAAAATGATTAAATCTTCATCTTAGAATAGTAACAAAAATTACAACAATTTGTTAAAATAGTGTCAACTATAACCGATGATGGACTAGGAACCAATGAATGCCTACTATGATGTTTATCAGACAAAAGCACAAAACAAAACAAAAATGTGTCTGACTTTGCCTATCTGACAACAACAATCATATTGAACAATTCTTATGATGGTACAGTCTATTATAATTTATTTTGTTTGAATCGAAAATGCATTAATAATGATCTAACAAAAAAAGAAGAAAGAATCCCTTCGTCATTAAGACAAAAAATAGAAACTATCCTCGACCAAATATTAGTGAATCAAAATCTTACAGTCTGTTATCATTTTTTTACATTTAAAAGTAACTAAACGATAGCCATATAAAGAATCAAGACATCAAAGGCTGTTAGCACCTCTAACTGCCGACATTTACCGAAAACCGCAATTGTAACGATTCAAAAGTGGACAATAGCAGAAGGTTAGAATAGATTCGCCACATCCGGAGTGCGGAACTTTTCAGATATCAGAAAGGAACTGGAAAAGGACACGATTATTGTCGCTGATGTATCGGTATTGGTATTGCGTTACCTCTTACAAAAGGGAATCTATAGGAAGCGAATGTAGCCTGCCGACAGGAAATGTACTGTACCTATTCGTTTGTTGCTTCGTAACAAATTCTGCTGTAATAAAAATGTTATGTGGGTTAATATGGTCAATAATGGGTCTTTTTGCTTCCTTTAGGTGTCTGGTTACTCATTGTAGTTCGTTCTGGAAGAAATTAAAATGTCGTTTAGTATGCTGAACAGTTTCTTGTATTTATTTTGTAGAGATTTATCGCTAGAATGTGGCAAAGATTCTTCTGTAACTGCAAGAAGTTTTTTTTTACTTTTTTTTTTTAATGGTGAAAAATATTCTATAAACATTTGACATGACACAATTGAAATATACTTAGTTTTTAAAAATTGTGATTTCTTCTTTTACAAGAAAACAATATTCAATTAAATGTAATTATAATTACACATTACACACTGCAATGCTTAATTACAGGTACGTGCAACAGTTTTTTACATGGAAGTTATATTAGTAGTTTTAGAAATCGACTTAATTAATTTTTGTTGGCAATTTTTTTTTTATATTGAATTATTATAACGAGCGTTCAAATAAAAACGTGGTCAAGTTGGTTCTGAAAATTTGGACGTAGGGCGTAGCGTATAGCAAATGAACTTAAACGTCATCTGTCAAAGCACTGTATCGCCGCTTTGTTATTGAAACTGACAGCTGCTATACAGCTCGTTGAGAAATGAGGTTAAGTTGGTCGCTATAAGCTACGCCCTACGTCCAATGTGTCAGAGCCAACTTCGACCACGTTTTTATTTGAACGCTCGTTATTATTGTGGTGAGACATTAAAGATTAAAAAAATCTTTTTTAAAATAAATTAATTTATTGTATTTTTATCAAATTCCAATAGGTTAGACATTAGATAATTGGTTATTTTAACCGGACGCTTGGTACATAATGTAAAATTACCATTTATAAATAAAGTTATACACTTTTTCTGTAATTCCATGTATGTTATTATAATACCTAACATGTAATTTTACTAAGAAAGGAGGGAAACTACGTAACATTCTTAAAAAGGAAGAAAAATCTATGCGTTATTACGTTATCATATTTTTACAAAGAATATGCAGACGTTTCACAAAGAATTTTGCGTATTTACAGTTTTCCAAGATGTCATGGAAAGTAATGACATGTTTTCGGGAGTCAAACGTAAATTATTGAATTATACGTAAAGAGAAATCACAGAATATTATTTATACTAAATTACATTTCCTTAAAATATAACCAATAAAAGTATAAATCTTGCAAGCACCAAAATACAGTCCGTACGATATTTGTTGAGATAGAATTTCAAGAAAAGAAAAAGCCAATAAAGTTCTGTTATCGAAACTATTGTAGCAATATACCGCGACATGGGCGTGCCTTGAAAATTTTACGCCAATGTCCTTCTACTTTGGGTATTAAATGCGGTGAATGCCAAGAATGTGACGCAGAGGTCTTCTTGGAATTCTATTTTAACAAATATCGTACGGGCTGTATTTTGTTGTAAATTTGCCAATGCTTCGTATGGCGGTGGAAGAAGAAGCATGGTTAGTAGCATACCGACTCAGGAATAACTGGAGAGGTAGTCCCTATTTCAAGATTTCGCAGTCTATGTCGGAACCAACTCTCGAGACAAGACAAGATCCTTTTATTCGCCATTAGAAACGCGAATAGAGGATCAGAGCAAATGGGAGGAACAGTTTCATACCTTGGAAAGATAGAGCCTAGTCTGGTTTACGGATATATGGAGTGCAATATAGTTTGGGGAGGTTTTCCAAGCAGAAATTTTCGCGATAATGGCGTGTCTAGCAGAGAATGTACGAAAAGGCTATATAAACATAAACACATATTCTGTGACAGCCAAACAGCTTTAGACACACACTAGGTAAGTTCAAAACTTGTATGAAAATGTTTACAAATGCTGATTGACAGGTTACTAATACAGTTAGACTGTGTTGAGTGTCAGGACACAAAGGCGTTGACGGAAACAAGGAAGCGGATGAACTTGCTAAGGAGGGAAACAGATCCCTTCTGTGCCTTTTTTTAGAAACAAACTCGTTTTAAAATTTTATATCGACAAGTTGTTGATTGCGTGCCTTTTTTTATTTTTTTAAAAGGGCCAGCGTAGAGCTTGTAGCCCCGGGCGTCATCATAGGTTAATCCGGTC